TCTCTCTCTCTCTCTCTCTCTCTCTCTCTCTCTCTCTCTCTCTCTCTCTCTCTCTCGTTTTTAGAGACAGAGTCTCCTTATATTCTGTAGGTCAACCTGGCCTTGAACTCACTGTGTAGCCCAGGCTGGCCTAGAACTCATGGTGATCCTCTGCGTCAGCCTCCAGAGTACTGGGATTACAGGCATTCGCAACTATGGCTGGCTCAGTTTTTATTTTGAGATAAGGTCTCAATAAGGCACTGAGTTGCCCAGGCAGTAGAAGGCAGGTAGAAGGCAGGTTTACTAGCAACACTCCTTGGTTTATGTGAGATTTGGATGTTGGACTAAAATCATAAAGCATGGCCAAGTCAGAATAGCCAAAGAGGACAGTAGAGAGAGATGAGATCAGAGCAGGGGTGGGGGCTGGTCCTGGGGTCCTGGGGGCCACACAGAGTAAGGTGGCTCCACAGGGGGGCTTGGAGCAGAAGAGGGACTTATATGCTCACTGGATCCTTCTAGTTGCCAGCAGGGAGAGACAGGCTTGGGGGAATCCAAACAGGAAGATCAAGAAGGAGATAGGGCTGGATGAGATGAGGGTAGGGGCAACAGTCGGACGTTTGGGAGAGAGGGTTCTGGGGGTGTGTGCGTGTGACTGGGATTGAGCCTGGTGGGTTGGATGTGGGTATGAAAGCGAGGTTTCAAGGATGGAACCAAGGCTTTTAGCCCGCACAGCTAGGTGGGATGGAAGTACCATTAATCAAGATGGGTCCTACACATGCTACATCTCAGATGCCCATTAGGCCTCCCAGGGAGAGAGCGGCTGATGGATACGGTCTTCAGCCCAGGGCTGGCCTGGGAGTACTTACTGTCTGCCATCTACAGGTCCTCTCCTTAGCAGCCATCAAGCCCAGAGATGTCTGTGTGCCTTTGTCTCTTGGGTAAACGCTTGTGCCCTATCCCCAGACAGGCCCAGGGACTCTTCATTCTGTTTTTTTTTTTTTCCTCCGGTACCTGGAACCGAACTCACGACCTTGCACTTGCCAGGCAGGCGCTTTGCCGCTGAGCTAAATCCCCAGCCCTGACTCTTCATTCTGAAGGCAGCGTCATGGGGGTTTATTCTGGGGTCCAGTTCCTCTTCTGTTCCATGCCCCTGCTGGCCTAGCCCAAGCTCAGATCTACAAAGCATGACTAGCAGCTGGTGTTCCCGGGCTGTGAGGAGATGTGAGCTACTTTACACGTTACATGCTAGAGGCATCAGGAACCAACCTGACCTTCCGATCCTGACTCACTTACCAGCTGTGTGGCTTTGGAGTTAATAAGTTGCTTGAGCATGCTGTGCCTCACTTTGCCACTTCTAAAATGGGGACACTGTCTACCATGCAGGCCTCTGTGAGTTTTAAAGATGTGTTGCATGGACTCCCATACAATAAGCACTCCCAGGCCAGCCCTGGACTGAAGACAAAGTGACTTTGAATATGTAAAACTCTATTTTGTTTTGTTTTTGTGCTACTAGCGATTGAGCCCAGAGCTTTTGCACTGGGCTATATCCCTGCCTATGCACCCTCCCATGTTAAGACAGGGTCTTGCTAAGTCACTAAATTGCCCAGTCTGGCCTCAAACTTTTGATCCTCCTGCCCCAGCCTCCCAGAGTTTTGGGATTACAGTTGTGTACCACCATGCCTTGCCATGAATATGTGAAGCTCTTTTGAGTATCACCCAGTGTCTTATACAGAGGAAAAGCTACATAAATGTTGGCAGTTATTACAAGTATAGTTGTACTTTTTTATTTCCATTTTAAAAAATGGTTATGGCAAGCAAAAGGTCCTGAGTTCAATTCCTGGTACAAAAAAAAAAAATGGTTAGTATGCTGGACGTGGTGGTGCATGCCTGTAGTCCCAGCTCTCAGGAGGTTGAGGTAGGAGGATCACTGCAAGTTTGAGGCCAGCCTGGGCTACAAAGTGAACTCAAGGCCAGTCTGACTGCAGAGTAAGACTCTGTTTCAAAAACAAAACAAAATTTAAAAAAGTAAAAATAAAAAAAACATGCCTCCAACCCAAGCACTTAGAAGGCTGAGGAAGGAGGATCTCTGTGAGTTTGAGGCCAGCCTGAACAACAGGGTGAGACTCCGTCTTAAAAAAAAAAATTTAGTACATATTTACAGTACATAATGTTTACATTTATTGTGGGGAGCTGGTACATGCACATAACACATCTTTAATTCTTTTTACTTCCTCTTCCCTTCCCCTCCCTTAGTTGTAATAAGTACAGTTTGCCTAGAGTCGGGGCACATGACTGTAATCTCAGCTACTCAGGAGGCAGAGGCAGGATGACCATAAACTGGAGACCGTCTGAGCCGTTTAGTGAGACCCTGTCTTAAAATACAATCAAAACGGCCGGGATACAGCTCAGTGCAGAGACGCTAGGTTCAGTTCCCAACACACACACACACACACACACACACACACACACACACACACGCACACGCACGCACGCGCGCAGAATCGTAAGGGTGCACCAGGCAGCAGCCGTGGTGTGTGTTGGAGGGACAGTGTTCTTTCCACCGGCGCCCCCCAGCACTAGGTTTTTCTCCTGTTCAGGGCAACCTGATGCTGCCCGTGTTTATCGGCTGCCCCCCAGGCAAGCGCCTGGCCTTCGACATCACCTACACGTTGGAGTACAACCGCCTGCTCAACAGACAATACTTCGACTGCGTGCACCCCGACCCCGAGATGCCCTGCTTTCTCTTCCGTGACCGTGTGTTCCGTCCCTTCCTCACCAGAGTTCGCGGTCCCCCGGGCCCCCACTTCGCCGCCCCTGCCCCTCTGCCCCGTGGGGTCCACATCGCTCTGCTCCGACCCTTGGTCACCTCTCCTCCCGCCCTTGTTCATCTGCCACATCTCAGGCCAAGCTCATTTCCACCCCTCCTGTTGTCAATCCTCTCCCATCCCGCAGAGTTCCACCCCTTCTTCTTGATTCAGGATTTGGTGACGGGAGACTCCGGCAGTTTCACGGGCAGGTAAAGGCTAGGTGGACCTGCCCTGGACCGGAGCGGGGGACTCGGCGCGGGAGGGGATGTAGGAATTGGGAACCCCATGTCGGTCCACGATCACCTGTGCTCCCGGCAGATACGTGCTGAAGGTGGTGGGCGGTGGGCCGACCCTGGCCACTGTCCGGGACTACAGCGAGGAGGAGATCTACCGCTTCAACAGCCCGCTGGACACGTAAGACGGGCGGGCGCGCCTTCCTCCCTGCCCGCCTCGCACGCCGCCAGTCTCAAGCTGGTTGCAAACCCCATCCACCCGCGCCAGCCCCGCCCACAGCAAGACCTAGGGCGTCCACGCGAACTCCCTCCACACACACCCGAGACCCCGCCTCTGAGAATACACGTCCCACCCAGGACTAATAGCCGCATCTGGACCACAAAGACCAGAGAGACCACGGAGGACGGGGTATTCCGCATCATGTCCTCCCGGAGCTACGGCATCGAGTGAGTGCGCAAGGCCTCGCCCCCACCTGCCCAGAAGGGCTGCCATCCTCGCTGGCCTGTCCCTGCCCTCCGCTGCCATCCTTCCTGGCTCTGGCAGTCTTCTAGGTCTGGAAGCTAGGCTGACTGCCTTTGTGTTCCCCAGGGGGGACACAGCAAGCCACTCTGTTTGGAAGGCTGGGCTCTCCTACTGTCTCTAAGAAGATGTCCCGCTATCAAGGAGGACTTGCTGTTTCAGGACTGGGCTGTCAATTTTTCCTCTTGGCTTCTTGGTGCTTTCCCTGTCCAGAACCGTCTTCCTGTTTCTCCTGTGTTCTGGCCTTAACCCCTCTCCCTGCACCTCCCCTTCCTTCCCATCCCTGCGCACTCTGGCCAGTCACTTCCTCTTGAGGGGTCTGGGTGACTTACAGGACCAGACCCTGGGCAGACTCAACACAGTCCTCTCCACACACACAGGAGATTGAACCTCCGCTGCACTGAGCTACATTCCCAGCCCTTTTCTATTTGGGGACAGGGTCTAAGTTCTAAATTTTTCAGGCTGGGCTGGAAATTGAGACCCTCCTATCTCTGCCTCCCAGAGTGCTAGGACTACAAGTGTGCACCACCACACCTGGCTTCAACATAGTATTTTAGTTTTGTTTTTTTTTTTTTTTTTTTTTTTTTTGAGACAGGATCTCAATTTGTACCCCAGGGTAGCCCAGGCTAGCCTTGAACTCACCGCAATGCTCCTGCCTTAGCCTCCCCAGTGCTGGGATTACAGGCATGTGCCACCACATCTGGCTTCAGTAGGCATTTATTGACAGTTAGATAGATGTATCAATGAATGAATAAACTGTGAAGAAGCAAACAAATATATATTGATTCCCCATAACTGCTTTGGATTCAATGGAAGCAAAGGCTGTCATGAACTTTATAAATGAAGGCAGTGAGTGAATGAACAAGCTAACAGTCTTGTATCTCATCAATGTTAAGACCTGAGTTTTTAAAAAAATATAATACTGCTTATTTAACTTTGAAAACATTTCAGCATTCTAAATATATTTTAAAAAAATACTCAGAACATCACAAATCTTGTTTAAGTACAGAAGGTTGTTGAACTTTCATTGATGCAGTGGCTCTTTGCTAACAATGAAGAGTTCTACTGTGAGAACTGCTGTGAGAGCCTGCTGTGTCCCCCCTGGGGAACACAAAGGCAGTCAGCCTAGCTTCCAGACCTAGAAGACTGCCAGAGCCAGGCAAAAAAAAATTTGTTTAAAAACAGTTTTGACCTACCCCACTTAACTAACAAAACAAAACCCCAAACACTTCTGATGCCAGCTCACCCACCTTGACCCCAGCTAAGATGATCATCAGGATGCTGGATTACTATATACAAAAACAAGATGCCAAGTGTGATGGTACACACCTGTAATCCCAGTACTTGGGAGGCTGAGGTAGGAGGATTGCTTCAAGTTCAATGCCAGCCTGGGCTACACACAGTTTGAGACCAACCTGAAATATAGTGAGACACTGTCTCAAAAGACAAAACAAAACAACCCTTCAAGCTAGGCATGGTGGTGCATGCCTGTAATCCCAGCACTTGGGAGGCTGAGGCAGGAGAATCCTCACAGGTTTGAGGTCAGCCTGGGCTACATAGTGAGTTCAGGGGCAGCCTGAACTACACAGCAAGAACTGTCTTGGGGTGGGGGAAGCCTGTTGCATGCCAGATGATCAGGCAGCATCACTGGATGAATGGAAGAAGGAGTGGGTGAGAGGAGGCCGGGTGTGCAGGATGGAGGGGAAATCAGGGGCTGGCGCACACTGGGCAGAGTTGGCAGCAAGAGCCTGAACGTGGCTTCCAGGTGGCTGTGTCTGGAGAACTCCCCCTGCTATGACACCATCCCCCAAAGCATCTTCTCCCCTGAATTCTACTTCAAGGTGTTGGTGAGCAATAGGTGAGCCAGGCGCGCGGCCCAAGTGGAGGTTGGTGGGGTCCTAAAGGGCATCCCCAGCTGCTCCCCAATCCTGGATCCATCCCCCACCAGAGGTGTGGACAGCAGCACGTACTGCGACTACCAGCTCACCTTCCTGCTGCACATCCATGGGCTGCCGCTCAGTTTCAAGCGAGCCCTGTTGATCGCCATCGTGAGTGGCTGCTGGGAGCTGCCTTGCTGGGCGGGCAGGGGCCGGGGTTGTGCACCTAAGCTTGCCCCCTGCGCCTCAGGTGTCGGCCAGTGTGTTTGTCGGCCTGGTGATCTTCTACATCGCCTTCTGCCTCCTGTGGCCGCTTATGGTGAAGGCCTGGAATATGTTCCTCTGGAAGATGAACGCCGTCATCACCTCAGAGTCCTACTACTACTCCACGTCCAGGAGCGGCTCACTGCAGCTGAATGACAATACCACCTCCAAGGCCCCCTCCAAGCTCACTCTAAAGGAGAACCAGGGGGACAAGACTGAAACCGAGGAAGCCGTGGGAAAGGAGCTCCAGAGCTGAGCCTCCCGCTCACCTCCACCCCTTGCCCACCCTTGGCTTCTCCTCGTAGCCCCGTCTTGGAAATGCAGCCTGGCCCCCGCCCCGGTCTTTCTTAGCCCCAAATAAAGCCCCATTTCAGGATCAGCCGTGAATTTTCAGAAGGGCTCATGTTTCATTGCTTTGTACTTGCACAGCTGCACAGGTCCTCAAAATATCAAAATTTAGGTGGGCTTGGTGGTGCACATGTGTAATCCCAGCACTCTGGGAGGCTGAGGCAGAAGGATCACATGTGTAACCCCAGCCTGGTCAACTGAGTGACTTAGTCAGATCCTGTCTCAAAATAAAAAAGGCTGAGGATATAGCTTAGTGCAAAGGCCTAAGAGAACTCATGGCTTCAATCCCCAGTACTGGTGTGTGTGTGTGTGTGTGTGTGTGTGTATGTGTGAATGTTTGTGCTGGCTGGTTCTCTGTGTGCCTGTCATGTTCTACAAACATTCAGGGTAAAAGAACAGGGCCCACTGTAGGTGAAAGGAGCCGGGAAACCTAACAGAGGGGCAGGCAGACCCAGGATCGCACAGAGTGCAATTGACTGAGGATTTGCTGACCAAAGCATGGTCCTGGGTGGCAGCAGGAACGGTGGATTGATCGCCACAACTTGGGTCAGACGGTGGGAACTTAGAGAGGTCAGGACAAAGTGACTTCATCCAAGCCAAAATGCACCTAATGGGCTAGGGATTTAGCTCAGCAGCACAGTGCCTGCCTGGCAAGTGCAAGGTCGTGAGTTTGATTCCCGGTACCGGAAAAAAACCAAACCAAAGCAAACCAAACCAAACAAAATGTACCTAGTTTAGCTCAGGCTAATGCCAAACATGTCAGCATGTTCTGGTAGCGAGGCCAGGGTTCAGGTGGGAAGCTCCACAGGCCACTCTCCTGGTTTTATCTATACTGTGCTGGAAAATCATGCAAAGTGAGAAACAGGCCCAGGTTTCTCAAGGGCAACATCATAGTTACAGCTCAAGATGGCTGCAGTCAGGTCAAGCTGGACTGGGCCCTGTCAGCCCAGCCCCTCCTTGGAGTATCCCAGCAGGGTTCTCTATGACCCAGGCCCATTGCTATGACCCGCACTGTTAATCGGTTGGTGCCCCTGTCATTAAATATTTGGATGTTACCATCTATTTAGTGGCTTTAGGTGTGTGGGGTGGGGGCAACTCTGAGAGGTTAGCATTTTAATTTGAGCTGCAAGTAGTAAAAATTTGACCTAAGTGGTCTACACGGAAATGGTAATTTGTGGATTTGTTAGTATAGGTGTCAGGTATAATTTAATCCAGATGTCCTCAGTATTTGCAGAATTCTGGCTCCATTTCTGTGGGGTTTTCCCTGATCTGCACTCCAAGTGTGGTCCTCTGACGCCCAGGCGATAATCCTCATTATCTGGGGCTGCCATTATCCAGGGACAGAAGGCAGTGGGGTCCAACATTTTCAACCAGAAGTTGTCAGTCCCTCTGATTGGATGAATTTGGGTCACAAGATCACCACCCTACCAATCACACTGCCAGAAGGATGGAGCTTCAACTGGCCAATCAAATGCCATTCCTGGAGCTAAAAGCAGTTGATCCCAGACTAATCTTTTGCTCATGTGAGGGAAGAGTAGTTCTGAGGAAATCCAGCTGTCAGGAGTGGGGAGAGGAGACTGGACAGGTAATGTCCAGTCCCTGTCCGCCTAGTGGCCTCAAACTTCAGCAGCTTCCCAGGGCTTTGTGTAGAGTAACTATGGGGTCCTCCCAGGGAAGCAATGTGGCAGGGACCTGGGCAGAAAGGAGCTGGGCTGGACTGAAGGCTATGGTGGGCAAAGGGAGAGGGAAGTGGGAGGAATGCTCAGGAGGCTGGGAACAGTCTGCGGCTGGGAGGCATTTAGAAGGACCAGGGAGAAGTAGCAGGTTTAGAAGAGATCCTGAAGCTAATTAGGCTGACAGCGGGTGTGAGGGGCCTGGAAGCCATCCAGGAGCCATGAGCACCCCAGATCTGTGGCCCAGGATAATCAAGCAGGCATCACTGCAGTCACCAGTCCAGACTTATCTGTCACAAAGTCAGTCCCATCAATGATGGAAAGGAGACCATGATGATAGAATGTTCTGTTTTGATCTCTTTACTTGGATTATTTCCAGTAACTCTTGTGAAGGTCTAACAGGAACATTCTATCGTTACGTGCATGTCACAGATGAGGGAACAAAGGCTTGGGTGTGTGACCAAATTTCTTCTTATAAAGGCTCCAATCAGATTGCAGGCATAGGGCCCACCCTAACAGCCTTATTTTAACTCAGCCACATCTTTCAAGGTCTTATTTTGGATCGAAATGCAGGCATATTTGGAGGTATTAGAAATTGGGGCTTCAATATATGAATTTGGGTGGGGGAGGGACATAAACCAGGCCAAAACACAGCCCAAAGAGACTTATAGATTCAATACAGTTCTTTGAGAATCCTAATGATAATTTTGTAGAAATAGAAAAACCCATCCTCAAATTCATAGGATTTTGGAGGATTCCAAATAGCCCAAACTATCTTGAAATAGCAGAACAAAGTTGAATTTCCTGATTTCAAAATGTAAAACACCAAGTGTGGTGGCGCACACCTGTAAGCCCAGTACTTGGATGGCCGAAGCAGGAAGACTGCTGTGAGTATGAGGCCAGCCTGGGCTATATAGTGAGTTTAAGACTAGCCTGAACTATGTAGCAAGAACCTGTCTCAAAAAACAGACAGACAAAATGTCAAACTTGGTCTGGCATGGTGGCGCACACCTGTAATTCCAGCACTTGGGAGGCTGAAGCAAGAGGATCATCACGAGTTTGAGGCCAGCCTGGGCTACAAAATGAGCTCAAGGCCAGCCTGAACTGCAGAGGGAAACCCCGTCTCAAAAAAAAAAAAAAAAGCCGCACAGTTGTAATCCCAGCACTCAGGAGGCTGAGGCAGGAGGATCACTGCAAGTTCAAGACCAGCCTGGGCTACAAAGTGAGGTCAAGGCCAGCCTGAACTGCATAGTGAGACCCTGTCTCAAAAAGAAAAAAAAAAAAAGTCAAAACTTAAAAGTTACAGTATGAAAATGACATGGTAGTGGCAAAAAGACAGGCATATAAGCCAAAGTGACTGAGAGCCCAGAATAAATCCTTACATATATGGTCAATTAAGGTTTTTTTTTAGGAGGTGGGTGACATGTTCAATGACAGTCTTTTCCTTTCACTCAATTATTTAAAATATTTATTTATTTAATTATATTTGTGCTATTAGGAATTGAGCCCATAGGCATTCTATCACTGAGTACATTCCCAGTCCCCTCTTAAAAACATGAGACCGTCTGGCTAAGTTGCCCAGGCTGGCTTCAAACTTGTGATTCTCCTGCTTCCACCTTTGGAGTAGCTGGAATTACAGGTGTGTGCCACTGTGCCTGGTTAAAATATTTTTATTTTTGCTAAGACAAAATGATCACAGATTTAAACCCAGTCTTGGCAACTTTATGATTTAGATTTGTTTTCTAAATAAGTAAGTAAATCAAAGGTTAGGAATATAGATGAAGGGGTCTGCCCCGACATTCTAGATAATGGGAGCAGAATTGGCTTTAAGAAAAGAAAGATGAAGCCCGAGGTAGTCGCACACACTGGGTAGTCGTAATCCCAGCACTAGAGGGGCTGAGGCAGGAGGGTAGCTGTGAGTTCGAGGCCATAGCGGGCTACACAGTGAGATACTGTCTCAGAAAAACAAAACCAAATAATAATTAACAAAAGGTGTTGAATAGGCAAATGTAGTATCAAGCATCAGTGGGAAACATAGGGATTCAGATTAAAAACTATTGGGAAACCTGTTTCTTTGTGGCATTTAAAGCCATAGGACTGGATTTTTGCAAATAGTTTGTGCTTATTTGTAAGAGATTGGAGAAAAATGCCGAAAGATTTGATACACTGAGAAAGCGATTGGAGAGACCTAGGTTCAAATTCTCGCGCGTAGCCCTTTGGAAATTTACCCAGGTTCTACCAGTTTGTCTATAAAATAACAGAGCTGTCCAAATGGCTCCACATCGCCACCTCTTGACTTACAGAAACTGCTTGTGGAACTTCGAAGATAGTTAATTTAGCGTTCCGACCGCAAGGCTGAAGCCAAGGCGGCCATGTTAACTACTGGAGGTGGGCGGGATTATGACACAGCTGTCATTTTCAGTTAGGACAAACCGACTTCCGGTCACCATCTTGAGTGACAGTAAAGGCGGAGCTTCAGGTGACATGTTCATTAAGGGCAGGGCTTCGAGGGATCCAGTCCCGCAGCGACCGCACACCACCGTCCGCCGACGCAGGCGGACAGTTTTAGCCCCGCCCCCGGCCTTGGGCTCCACCTCCCGGCCTCACTTCCGCCGGCGAACGAGCGTTCGTAGGCGTCGCTGCCGTAAACCAGGCGGGAGGTTTGCCGCATCACGGAAGATGGCGGCTGCGACGGTGGACGGGGCGACAGGGGTCTCGAGCACCTCGGCGGCCTCGGGCGCGGTCCTGCAGGCCGCGGCTGGCATGTACGAACAACTCAAGGGCGAGTGGAACCGTAAAAGCCCCAATCTTAGCAAATGCGGGGAAGAACTGGGCCGCCTCAAGGTAGGAGTGGACTGACCGCGGGAGCCAGGGGCTGGCGGGGGGCGCTTCGAGGGGTCCGAGCCTAGCCGGGTTCCGTGCCTCGGCAGAGTCCTGGGTGTCCACCTGAGCAAGGCGGACCGGGACTGCAGAGGTCCGGAGATTCGGAGCAGTTGTAGCCCGAGCTTGGAGGGGTCAAGCGATAAGAGGGACCGGGACGAGCTGAAAGCAGCCCCGTAGGGTAGCGGGTAGGGAAGAGAGATGGAAGGTAGTTACGGCCGAGTCGAGAGAGGAGGTGAAACTTTGGTGCTCACAGGCCTTTCTGACTGTAGGGGCAGAGTAGGGGTGTCGGGGTTTGTTTTTTTTTTTTTTTCGTCACGGGTTCCAGACAAGATCGAGTAGGTAATGAGGGCACAGCTGTAGCAAGCGAGAGGCTGAGATGTGGGGTGTGTGTAGGGAATGTGCACTTAAGACGGGGCCAAGTGAGGGTCTGAGAGATCTGGGGTTTAGGGATGCATCTGCGTGGGGAAGGGACCCAGCCAAGTTGTAGGGGCAAGACTGAATTGGGAAAAAATGGGTGTGTGGGATTCAGGTTGCTTCCGACCCAGTGTGTTTGGGAGACCGTAGAAAAATACAGCAGTAGGCTGAACAAAGTTGCTGAGTCTACTCAAGAATGACATTTGGGCTGGGTCAGCTGGGGAGATTAGTGCCTCACCTTCTCTGGTGTAGATTTTGGGGTAGGCCAGCTGTTCCTTCCCAGATAGTGTGGGGAAGATCTGCCAACAACTGGCACCCCTACGATGCTGTTGGGTCAGGCACTGCCTCTTCTGTTTTGCCAGTGAAGCTATTAATACATGTAACGTAAAAAAAAAAAAAATACATGTAACATGAGGTGATCCTACATGAGCACATGCTGTGTGCTCAGGCCCTATTCTGAGTGTTTTATGAGGACTGCCTCTTTTAATACTCATAAGAGACTTATAAGTCAGAGATGGTGGTTAGCTCCATTTTCCAGATGGGAAAACCACAGGCCAGAAAAGGTAGGTAAGCTGTATTTGAATCCCGTCTTCTTTCCTTCCCTCCTCATCAGCTGGTTCTGCTGGAGCTCAACTTCCTGCCAACCACAGGGACCAAGCTGACCAAGCAGCAGCTTATCCTGGCCCGTGAGTGTCGCTGGGTTTGAGTGGGGCCACCAGTGGGTTGGGATCTGCAGGAATGACAGCACTGTTGGTCAGGGGAGCGACTCTAGTCACCTCCTGAGAGCCCACTGTCACCCACAGGTGACATACTGGAGATTGGCGCCCAGTGGAGCATCCTACGCAAGGACATCCCCTCCTTCGAGCGCTACATGGCCCAGCTCAAATGTTACTACTTTGACTACAAGTGAGGATGGGCCCTGACTTGAATGGGGGAGGTCCAGTGGTTACTTGGCAGTTGTTTTACCTCTGGTGCTCTGGCCGAACACGTCATCTTCCTTCTCCTAGAAATCCCTGCGCCTGTGATTGTCTGGGTCCTCAGAGACTGTGGGGTCAGGGAGTTGGCTTGGAGGTCCAGAGACTGGGGTGACATAAGGCTATGTGACCCAGTTCCGTAGGACTCCGATCTACCATCTCGTCTTACCACATCCACACTCCGTCCCCTCTGCCCAGCGCTGCCACCATCCCTTTATCTCCGGCCTTACTCCCTCTGATTCATGTCCTACAGCAGCCAGCAATATCTTTATGACACTTCACTATTTTCCTTTGTGATGCTGGGACTCAAACCCAGGGCCTCACATATGCTAGGCAAGCTGTCTACCACTGAGCTACATCACTACTCTAAGCCTCAACACTAAAATTTGACCTTCTTGATCATCTGCTCAGCACCTGTCATGGGTCTCAGTAGCATAGGCTGGAGACCAAGTTCTTTCCTGTGGATTCCAGTGGTGGTCTGCACTGACCTTTCTGCCTGTGCCTTCTTTATCCCTTTACCCGTCTCTTCCACTAGACTGTGGACTTCCTAAAGACAGAGCCTGGAGCTGTCTTGGTCACTGGTGTGTCCTCAGCACTACCTACCTTAGGGTCAGGCCAAGAGTGGGAATTCACTGGATGTGTGCGGAATGCAAAACTGAATGGTAGCCAGGCATGGTGGCTCATGGCTATAATCCCAGCACTTGGGAGGCTGAGGCAGGAGGATTGCTGTGAGTTTGAGGCCAGCCTGGGCTGCACAGTGAGTTGAAGGCAAGCCTGAACTACACAGTAGTGAGACCCTGTCTGAAAAACGCAAAACAACAAAAACTGACACTTGCTTGGATTAGCAATAAGAATTTGGAGCCAGAGAGATGGATTTGAGACATCCTGACAATGATTGTGTGGTCTTCACTTTTCTAAGTCTTATTTGCTTCTCAAAGTGGAGATGATGATTCTTAATATAATCACAGTCAGCACTTATGCAGTGTTTATTTATTCCATATTTATTCCAATCCCCTTACCAGGATTAAGTTGTTTAATGCACTTTACCTTTACTCATTTAACCCATCTCTATGAGATGGCTACTATGGGTCCATTGACCCATTTTACATTTGGGTTACTTGACTGAAACAAGTCATTTCTTGGATTGGTATGACTTGTAAGTGACTTCCTTGTGCCCTATGGGTCTCAGTTTGTTCATCTAAAAATGCAAGATCCTGTATACCTTCAAGGGGACAAACGAGTCCCTGGCTCCTGGGTTGGTGCACTTGGTGGGTCCCTAAGCCCTCCTTACCTTGGTTCCCTTTCCTGATCCACAGGGAGCAGCTCCCTGAGTCGGCCTACATGCACCAACTCTTGGGTCTCAACCTCCTCTTCCTGCTGTCCCAGAACCGCGTGGCTGAGTTCCACACAGAGTTGGAGCGCCTGCCTGCCAAGGATATCCAGACCAATGTGTACATCAAGCACCCTGTGTCCCTCGAACAAGTGAGGCTGAGAAGGGGGAAGGGAGGGCCTGGCTATTTTGGTTGTGTTGGGACAGACATTAAGGAGGGCTTTCTGGAATACTGCTCAGGGTTTACCATGCCAAACCCGTGGAGTTGTTTGTTTGTGCCCCTATCAGTACTGAGCAGCCGCTGTGCGCCAGGCGTTACGGCTGGTTCTCAGACTGCAGAGTCAAACAGAGTCCTGGGTCCTGGGAGATGACAGTGAGGTGAAATAGTAAACTAAGGAATAAGTAACCTGTGTCATCTGTCAGATGTTAAGGCTATGGAGAAGAATAGTGCAAGAGGTATGGATTGGTGTACAGGAGTGGAATTTTAGACGGGTGATCAAGGAAGGGTTCACCGAAGAGGTGCGGTTAGAGGAAGACTTGGAAGGGCTGAGAGGCAGGCCGTGTGGAAGTGCACGCAGAGGGAGCAGCCTGTGCAGCGCTATGTTGAGTGGCAGTAGAAGACACTGTGTGTGGGGCAAGGTGCATGAGGCCGGGGGAAAGCCTTAGGAGCTGGGTTAGGAAGTTGCTTCTTGACTGAGGTTTGGGGAGGGTTTGTCTGTGAGAAGGGACGGCACAGAGGGCAGGTAGGGCGGCGGTACAGCTTGGGTAGTGGGGTGGAGGGTTGACCTGGGCTCGGTCCTGCTGTGTCCTCCCTGTAATTGGAGAGGAGATAGAGTAATTAGATACCGTCCCAGGGTAGGATGGGAGAGAGAATGAGTACATACGTGTGTGTGTGTGTGTGTGTGTGTGTGGGTGTGTGTCTAAGTGTGTAAACCAGAGGAGGAACACAGTCTGCTGGGGAGTGGATGGCCATGTGGTGGCCAGGGTGTTCTGGCAGAATGAGGCTTATGGGGGCAACAACGGGTGCGGGGAGGCCCCTGTGCTGCCTCTTCACCCTCTTCGTCCTTGGCCTCTGCAGTACCTGATGGAGGGCAGCTACAACAAGGTGTTCCTGGCCAAGGGTAACATCCCTGCTGAGAGCTATACCTTCTTCATTGACATCCTGCTGGACACTATCAGGTATGTGGGGGCGTCAGTCCTTGGGATTCAAAAGAGCTTGGACCCTGGCATTGCACAGCCCTGAGTTCGAATCCTATTCTGGCCACTGGTGATCTGGGTAGGCCAGCACATTTCCTGTCTGCCTGGTATTCCAGTTCCCCCTTCCTGTGAGCCATAGCTGCTTATGTCATGGTGGACAACAGACCTCCACTTATTCGAGACTGTTTCCATGTGTGGCCACAGGTGTCAGACTGAGCCTGTGCATGGTACCCAGACAGCTCATCGGGCTATCCCCACTCTGTGAGAAGTGCTCCAGCCCTTCTGTCAACCAGGGATGTGCCCGTGAATCACATGCCCTTGATTCAGTGCCAAAACAGTGGAAGGCTCAGTTTTCCCTTCCCTAGAATAGGGTCATTTCCGGGCATGGTGGCGCATGCCTGTAATCCCAGCACTCAGGAGGCTGAGGCAGGAGGATCATTGAGAGTTCGAGGCCAGCCTCGGCTACAAAGTGAACTCAAGGCCAGCCTGAACTACATAGCGAGACCCTCTCTCAAAAAGAAAAAAAAAAAAAACAACAATGGGGTCACAGTGTCCTGCCTGCTCCTTTAGTTGCTTTATGCACAGGTGATAACATGTGAGCAAGTGGGCATGACATACAAGTCCCTTGAGGTGTAGAAGGATACTATTACAGTGGTGACAGAGTCAATACACTTGGGCAAAGCAGCAGATTGAAGTGTGTTTCCATTCTTTAGCTGACAAAGGTAGGCCCACAGATGTGGGAATGAAGAGGGGCAGCCTCGTGGGTTTAAGATGGGTTTGTTGTTTTTGCGTAAGACTGAGGATTGCTTCTTGGGCAGGGACGGTGAACCTGTTAGAGCTTTCAGTGATATAAACCAGCCTGCTGTGGCATGTTGCCACAGGTTCACCACCACTGTCCTAGGGTATTCATACTGAGCTGCATCTCCCACCCTCCATTATGTTTTATTTTAAGAGAAAGTCTTGCGAAGTTGCCTGGACAGGGTTTGAACTTGTGATCCTCCTACTCAGCATTCCACCGTGCTGACATCATAGGCATGCACTGTTACTCCTGACATGGCATTTGTTCTATTTCTTTTTTTTGGAGACAGGGACTTGCTATGTGGGCCAGGCTGGCTTTGAACTGTGTAGTCCTCCCACTTCCTCCTCCTGAGTGGCTGGACTGCAGACAAGGACCACTGTACCTGGCTGGTGCAAGGGTGTTTTGTGGTGCTGGGGATGAACACTATGCAAGTGCTCTAGCCCTGAGCTACAGCCCCAGCCTTAGGGTATTTTTTTTATTTGAAATATTTTAGCTCTCCCAAATACTGGGCCTGAGAGATGTGATATCTCAGAAATGGGCGTGCTCTTCCCTGCCACTCCATTGCTCTGACCTTACCCTGTCTCTGTTCTGATCACTTCATGTGTTGCTGTTTTGTACTTCAGTGTTGTTCATGGTATCTTTTGATGGATACAAGGCCCCCACTTGGGATCTATGAAGCAGGGCACAGCATTCTTGAGGTCGGGTCTTCTGTGAAGAGATCTACTTGTGGGAATCCGAAGTTGGGTTTCAGACAGCCTAAGTCCTGTGACTAGGAGTGGGATTCAGAGTTGGGGTCCATCGTTGGTTCCACAATTCTGGGAGTCAGTGAAATCTAGATGTGGATCCCTGTGGCACTTGCCTGCTTTGAGTCTCTCATAAAGTCTCAGCCTTCATCAGTAAAGGAGGTGGCACCAGTGCAGAAGGGTCAGAGATGACACCTGTCATGCTTGGGAGAACAGGACCTTGGGGGTTGTCTGTGCTTGGTAATGAGAACTTTTTTGTCTTCCCACAGGGATGAGATTGCTGGGTGCATTGAGAAGGCCTATGAGAAAATCCTTTTTACTGAGGCCACCCGGATTCTCTTCTTCAACACACCCAAAAAGATGACGGACTACGCCAAGAAGGTGGCTGGAGTGCAGGGCAAAGGGCCGTGGAGCCCTGGGATACACTATCTGATGGCAGTGTTAGCAGGGGGTCATTAGAAGGAACAAGCATCCTAGGATTAAATTCAGCTGTGTGACCTTAAACAAATCTGAGCTTTAGTTGTCTTTCCATAGAACGGTGCCAGAGCTGACACACGGGATGAATTTAGCATGGTACCTGGCACCTGGTAGAGGCAGGCGCTCTGCATATTGGCTTTTGCCATTGTTAGAATTTCTTAGAGGTAGCAGCCTTTGCCATAAGACTTGACTTCATTTTGCTGGAGGTGCTAGCTCATGTGCTGACCCTGGTGAGTGCTTGTTTAGGGGGCAGGAGGCAGGGGGAGGGCCAAAGATAGACCATGGAAGTGGGTGACATGGTACCTGAGTGATGGTGACACTATTTTTGGTACTTTAGAGGTTTAGACTCACTGAGTTATCACAGCTGATCTAGAGAAGACTAATTAGTCCTTATCACCAACATGGAGAAACTGAGGCATAGAGAGTGAAGTTCTTGCCTGGAGTTGTGTGGGTAGAGGGGATTGGTGAGAAAAGGATGCCATGGTGTGTGTGTGTGTGTGGGGGTGGCGGCGGCAACTCTGGAATGGGGAGGTAGCCCTTGGAATCATCCCACTCATGATCCCTTTCTTCCTTCCTGCAGCGAGGGTGGGTCCTGGGGCCCAACAACTATTACAGTTTTGCCAGCCAGCAGCAGAAGCCAGAAGATACCACCATCCCTTCCACAGAACTGGCCAAACAGGTCATCGAGTATGCCCGGCAGCTGGAGATGATTGTCTGAGCCCACTGGGCCCTGGGGGTGGGCAGGGCATGGTTATTTAAAAACACAGTGCAGGGTGTCCTCCAATAAAGGTGGTTTGGTGTTTGCTCTTCTAGGCCCTTATCTCCCCAGTCAGGATGACGGGGCTCTTCAGGGCTGGAGATAACACACTTCATCCAATCAGCCTCTAGCCAGTGGCCAGTGCTCGAGGTCTCAAACCTGCCCACTGGCCCTGTGGCCTACAGGGGGGAGCATGGGTCCCAGGTAGAGGGACTGTTTTAGCCAGCTGTGAGCACATTGGAATGTTGGGCCAGGGCACCAGTTGTTTTTTTTTTCAGCAAAGGGGTAATGTCCCAGTTTTTTTAAATGTTGAAAATGGATTAAATAATTTTTCAAATGACATGTGAAATGGAATCTGTCTACGGGCTACCAGTATGATCCCTCTGAACAACAGGTGTGGGCCGGGGCATGGGCTTGCTGCCCGCTTCCCCTGAAACCTCTGCCTTAACCTCACCCTACTTCAGCCCACAGCAGTGACCGGTGGCCGTCAGCATTGGATACTTTATTGGCATGGAGGGGAAGGCAGGGAGTGTTGAGCAGACTACACTCGGTCAGAACGCGTGGCCTGCAAGTCATAGTGCTGCAGCCCAGCTACAAGGGAGCCAGCCAGCTTGATGGTGGTGACCCAGGGTGGCTCGCTCAGGTGGTTGGTGGTGGTTCCCAGCCTGGGAGGAGAGAAGAATCAACAGGGTCTGTGCCCAGACCTTTACCTCTTTTAGAGCTTCACTTTCGCCATCTGAATAAGGAAGCTCCTGGTGACTGGATATCCCAAAGGCAGCTTTGGGCAGAGTTGCATCTACCCAGTAGAGTGGGAAAGTGCTCATGGTGCCCCTGCTGAGGCCCAGGGCAGAGTCAGATCCAGAGCCAGGGTATGCTCTGCAGCCAGGCTCAGATCCGGAGATTCACTATGCGGGTAGGGAGGAGCTAGAGCATGCCGTGTATGCTTTAGATCTGGGGGATCAAGTAGGTTTTGCAGCACAAGGGCTGGAGCATCAGTGCTCTTTGGTGGTCAAAGCCTTGGGCCCTAGAATGAGGAAAAATTGCCAGAGGCCTGAGGGGGCTTCTTCCTGTGTCCAGGAAAGCTGCAGCCCTACATTGACCCCTTTTGTCTGGACGACATCTTCCCATCCCTAAGCAGTGTGAGCCATGGTCCCTCTGTGCCTGCAGGTACAGGGTCAAGGCAGTGAGTAAGGTCAGGTCAGATGGGTCCAGCATAACAAGAGGGCCAGTGTGAGCTTGGGGTCTGAGTACCAAGGGGCTGGGCCAGGGTATCCCCTTTCCCTATTTAGGGGTCAGTAAGGGATCCAGGCCCCATGGTGGCGCTGAAGGATTGGAGCTCAGCTAGGTTTGAGATGCAGTTGAAGAGGGTCAAGGATCAGCCTAGGCTCAGGACTGATAAAACAGGACTCTCCCCTTTCTCCCACTTCCTGACCTCCCCTCACCAGGCTGACACGTTGCTCGGCAGGCGGCGATGGTGCGGCTGGTGGCGGCAATAACACTTGCAGGGACAAGAGTTAAGCACCTGGAAGGGTGGCCAGTGGCGAACAGCCCTGGTATTAGCTACCCCAGGCAGAGCGGCCCGGCTGCCACGGCCCCCTTTGTCAGCGACAGCTGTAGTCTTTTGGTGCGGACCAACTCCAGGAGTGCGGTCTTCACCTGTCGCCGCCCCTTTGGTAGTGCGGGAACCCTTGTTCCTGCGTGTGCGAATCTTGGGCGCAGGCGTGGGGGGCAATGGCTTGGTGGTGGTGGTGGTGGTGGTGGTGGCTGGGGATGGGGATGGGGACGAGGTCGAAAGTGGGGCTGCGGCAGGGGATACGGGTGGGGCTGGGGGTAAGGGTGGGGCCCCTGCTGGCGCCGGGACCGGGGCCAGGGCCTGATCAGCAGCGAAGGTCGCTGGTAGAGGGGGAGTTGGGGCAGGAACCACGGCTGACTCCCTGGGGCCGGGGTCGGGGCTGGGGCCGGGAACGGGGCTGGGGCTGGGGCTGGGG